GTGCAAGAAAATCCATGTGCACCAAGACCTCCAACTTTCCCCACACCCTGCCTTCACACTACAGATGGTGTGGAACATTCTCCATGTGGGCACAGTACTACCACCATGCTGGGAGCACTCTGCACATGGGCACAGCACTAGCACAGTGCTGGGGGTACTCTGCACATGGGCATAGCACTAGCACCATCCTGGGAGCACTCTGCACATGGGCACAGCACTAGCATCATGCTGGTGGTACTCTGCACATGGGCATAGCACTAGCACTGTGCTGGGGGTACTTTGCACATGGGCACAGCACTAGCACCATGCTGGTGGTACTCTGCACATGGGCATAGCACTAGCACCATCCTGGGAGCACTCTGCACATGGGCACAGCACTAGCACCATGCTGGTGGTACTCTGCACATGGGCAGAGCACTAGCACTGTGCTGGGGGTACTTTGCACATGGGCACAGCACTAGCACCATGCTGGGAGCACTCTGCACATGGGCACAGCACTAGCACCATGCTGGTGGTACTCCGCATATGGGCACAGCACTAGCACCATGCGGGGAGCACTCTGTGACAAGGAGCTCCTGCCAGGAGAGAGGTGCTGCTTGTGGCAACAGGACCACAGATCTGCTTCCCCTGCTTCTGTGCAACAGGACAAGTGTGAACTGCAGAGCTGGGCATTGCTGGAACATAGCTAACCACCCTTGATTCCCAACTAGTCAACAACCCCCTCTCCTTCCCCAGCTGGGAAGAGAGGTCATTTTGCTTGACACAGTTCTTCACAAAGACATGGACCAGACCATCTCTATTTCGATGGCCATGGTGGGAGGGGGGGGCAGTGCCTTTTCATTTGCAAAGAACCACAACTAAAATAAAACTTTACTATCCTACTAAGCAGGGTGTCAGCTTCCACGGGCAGATCCTGGCTCCTTCCACTTCCTGGTTTATTTGATCACATCGTTGTTACTATTCGTTGTGTTGTTTCACTTCGATAGGTCATGACAACCCCATGTAGGGTCTACACATCACCCCCATGGCCATCATTGGCAGCCTGTGAGACACGAAGATTTGTGGCCCCCAACTAAATCAACAGAACCAGAGTAATGAAGGATCTGGCCAGGAGGGCATTCCCGCAAGCACTTGCGATGATTTTGAAGCAGAATGAAATTTGGGAATCATTGTTTTGGAGAATGAGAAGAGTAGGAATATAAAGGAAGCAAGCTTTGTGATTCTTACTACCAAGGAAACAGAAAAGCAAATTACTCAGAAATAAGCTGAAGTCTCTGTTGGTATCTAGAAATGAAGCTGTTTGAAAGGCATCACACAGAGATGGAGAGCTCTTAAATGCCATTTGTCTTGAGATTTCAGTGTGCATGAATGTGTGTGTGTGTGTGTGTGTGTGTGTGTATCACATTTACTAGATTACAGTGTACCACATCCTGACATCAAAGTACTAGAGTGTAAAAGACGTAACTTGGATTCCCAACAGCACTGCTGTCCTCCACGGGTGTACATTTAGACATAAAAGTCAGAACCGTCGCTACATCCTCGGACCAGGCTGCCACTGCTTGGCACATGCATGATGTGGCAATCTTACTTTGCAGGTTTTCCTAAGTGGCTCAGCCAGCAGAATTTACTTAACATTTGCAGACAAAGCAACTGTGGTTCCAAGAAGAGAAATGTTATTTATAAATCAAATGTAATATTTACCTGGAAGTGGTCAATTCCAACTTAGCAATTAATGACTAGAGAGTGATAGATCTTAGAGAGGTGTGTAAACAGCAAGTGTGTCCCTGGGTGCAGACAGGGAAGTCCAGGGAGGCAGAGTGAATGTGAGCCCAGCCAACAGTGACACTTGCTTACTAAATAATTTTAACCAGGAAAAATAATTTTAAAATAGTATGCTTCACATTGTGGCGATTTCACAAAACCAGTAAAAATTATTACCGTCCAACTGTTTTAACTGCCACAGCCTCAGGGTGAGCAACGGAATTGAGATTAATGTGACCATTATTTAGTGAGCTTGACCACTTTAAAAATTGGGCACTTAATTATCTTCCCTTTAGCTATTCTATTTTCCAACTAGCAGTGTTCTTAAAAATAAATTTTTCATCCCTCTCTCATTCTCTTTTCTCATGAAGACAAAAGGAATCTTATTTGTGTCAATGATGCTATTTCAATATCCTTTTTATCCCTTTACCCCAAATAAGAAATCATATCTTGAGAAGTTTTATTTAGTTTTCATTTCTAATAGACATTATATCAGCTCATGAGTAAATCTAGATAATTAATCATTTTTCATTAATTATGAGAACAAAGAGGTAGGTATATTTTATTTCTCTTTGACATGAGTGGGTCTCTTATGTTGCATTAAAATTAAGTGAGGCATAAAAATAAATAGTAGATGCACCCAGAAACTGCAAGAAAAATTAAGAATGAACAGGACTAAAAATAATACTAGAAGAAAAATAATGTTTTAAAGGAAACATATGCTGAGGCTTTGTTATTGACAAAAAAAGGAAAATGCCTTAGTAAATATTGTGGTAATTTGCAAGCTTTCTGAGTTATATTGTTAATGAGTAAATCTGAAGCAAGTTAATGGTTGAAATTAGGAACTCTACCCTGCTACTCACTAAAGTACTATGCAGAAACTACAGAAAAGAAAATCAGGCTTAGAACTCAGTGTAGAACTCAGTTGGCAGAGCTGCACTAGAGCGAAAAAGCTAAGGAGCAGCATACCAACTCTGAGTTCAACCTCCGCTACTGTCAGTCAGGATTCTATTCTGTGCTGTCAGGCATTGGAATAGGTAGCCAGGGCTGTGGTGGCTAACACAATCCATGTTAATGTAAAAGTGTCAGATAATAACACATTCAGAAGTCTGCCCTTGCATAAGCAGTATTCTGTAATGTATCTGTGCTAATTCAAGAATTTAGTTTCATTATGAGACAATTTTTATCTTCAAAATAATTATTGGTCCTTTTCAAATCACATTTTTGGAAAGGGGAAAATAAATATGTTGATACTACCCCCCAAACATCGGTCTAATGTAAGAAATGTTTTCAGTTTTATGTGATCACTTTTAACCTGTCTTAAATCATAAAAGCCCACAGACAGGCTTAGCTGGAAAGGCGGCACATGTTCTTTCTGGTAAGCAGATTTGTAAGTTGTTTTTCAAACAGCAGGTGGCAGTCTTCGTAAGTGTGATTGCACTTGGGCTATCTTCACCTGTGCACATGAAGCAGGATTTTAGAATGTGGAAGAACCTTAGGAGATAGGAGTGTTTTAAATACTTCAAATCTTAAAAGGGTCTTGTTTAATCATACTTTACTGTTATCAGGAAATGTCTCTCTTGAAAAAAATACATGTTTTTGCTTGACACTTGTTCATTTTTGTGGAGCAGCACAGGGATTTCATCGTGATACCTGCACTGGTTTCCCACTCACTCAAACTCTACATGCTGCTTATTTCTCACCACTCTCAATTCACATGGCCTGGAGAATTAATAAACTTAATTGTAGAGCTCAAGCTCAAAGAAAATCTGCTGACTCGTAGCTCCTCCTAGAGTCCAGCTGCTGTTGGTATTCTTGCTGCTGAACTGGGAAGCATTTTTAGAATTCTGATTATGCACAATGACAAAGTTTTGATTTCTGAGTGCCTCTTAGAATAACCTAGTTTCTATAAATGGATATGGTCATGTTAGAGGCAGGAGTATCTGGCTTCTGAACTAGAAAGGGGCCTCACGGATGTGCAGGCAGCTGTGTCTCCTATTACCCATGCATCTGGACAGCCAAGGAGATGCAGCCTGGACCACAGAGCTCAGATCTACTAAATGCAGCCCATGTGTCTACATCTCCTTATGAAATCTTAAGAGCTCATCCTGCTATCCATTTAGTATGTTCATAGCATTTTTGGTTATGGTATTATACTAAAATTACAATTACTGAATTTTCTGTGTGTCATGAATATTTCACAGCATGCATATTTCTTTTTACTGTAAGTACTAGGGTCTGAGCTCAAGGCTTCATGATCTTGCTTGGCTTTTCTGCACAAAGCTGGCATTCTACTCCATGAGCCACACCTCAACATCTGGCTTATTCTTTGCTAACTGGAGATAGGAGTCTCACTGACTTTTGTGTTCAGGCTATCATTGAAACCTGATCCTCAAATCTCAGCCTCCCAAGTAGCTAGGACTACAGGTGTGAGCCACTGGGACCCAGCTTGGAGTATGCATGTGTTTAAGAAGAAATCTGTCTTCCACATCATAGAAATCTGTTCACTATAGTCTGACCATTTCTAATCTTGCATTCTTTATAGTGCTATGTGTAAAATCTTCTTTTTTTTTTTTCCCCAGGGCTGAGGACCGAACCCAGGGCCAGGCGGGCGCCCTTCCGCTGGGCTAAACCCCCAGCCCCTATATGTAAAATCTTCTAATGCAGCATTATTTCATGTCTTTCATTAGTAATCAAGAGTAGCTACTTTTGTTTTAAAAATGTTTCTTGTTTGAATTTTCTTTTAGAGTGGAAAAAGTGGAAAGGAACATAAATGGAGAGTTCCAGGTCATTCTTTAAGGTGAGATTAATTAATTAGTGTTCGGATTTCCACAGCGTTGTTTTCTCTTCTAGGTTACCTGATGCTGTCCTGTGGCTGTGTGGATGACTGTCCGGGGCCACAGGTCTGCGCGGCCCCTGCGGTCTGACCCACCCGGGCGCCTCTGACCCGGGCGCCTCTGACCCAGGCGCCTCTGACCCAGGCGCCTCTGACCTCGGAGCCTCTTTCTGACCCGGGCGCCTCTGACCCGGGCGCCTCTGACCCGGGCGCCTCTGACCCGGAGCCTCTTTCTTACCCGGGCGCCTCTGACCCGGAGCCTCTTTCTTACCCGGGCGCCTCTGACCCGGAGCCTCTTTCTTACCCGGGCGCCTCTGACCCGGAGCCTCTTTCTTACCCGGGCGCCTCTGACCCGGAGCCTCTTTCTTACCCGGGCGCCTCTGACCCGGAGCCTCTTTCTTACCCGGGCACCTCTGCTCACTGCAGCGCCGCACTTCTTCCCCCGCGCCGTCGCACTGCTGCCCCGTGACCGCGGCCCCCTGGCAGGTCCGGACCCTTCGCTCCCAGCCGCCGTCGCAGGACCTGGAGCACCCGCTCCAGTGACCCCACTGGTTCCACTGGCCATTGGCTGAAAGACAGGGGTCATGGTCAGTGGAGCACGCCGTCCCCGGAAGCGCCTGCCACACACGGGGTCAGCCCGAGACCCGCCCACTGCCACCCCGGAAGCGCCTGCCACACACGGGGTCAGCCCGAGACCCGCCCACTGCCACCCCGGAAGCGCCTGCCACACACGGGGTCAGCCCGAGACCCGCCCACTGCCACCCCGGAAGCGCCTGCCACACACAGGGTCAGCCTGAGACCCGCCCACTGCCAACCGGAAGCGCCTGCCACACACGGGGTCAGCCTGAGACCCGCCCACTGCCACCCGGAAGCGCCTGCCACACACGGGGTCAGCCTGAGACCCGCCCACTGCCAACCGGAAGCGCCTGCCACACACGGGGTCAGCCTGAGACCCGCCCGCTGCCACCCCGGAAGTGCCTGCCACAGGGGGTCAGCATGAGACCCGCCCACTGCCACCCGGAAGCGCCTGCCACACACGGGGTCAGCCCGAGGCCCGCCCGCTGCCACCCCGGAAGCGCCTGCCACAGGGGGTCAGCATGAGACCCGCCCACTGCCACCGGGAAGCGCCTGCCACACACGGGGTCAGCCCGAGGCCTGCCCGCTGTCCGTCCCTTCATCTTTGGTCCGCGGGTCCCGAGGGTGATGTTCCGAGTCCTTCTCGGCCCGTGGATGGCTGTGCACAGCCGCTCTCCAGTTCTTTCCTCTCAGGCAAGTTCAGCGCCCATTAACTCTGTTCATCGCTGAGTCTCCTCAACTCCCGACTATGGTGTATAGAACGGGCTTGGTACAACCCCCGTCGCTTATACACACACCCACACCTACACACACACACACACACATGCACATACACACCCCACACACCCCCCCCCACACACACACCTTACTCCATGACTGTGGCGCGTCTGGTGGCGCCCTCGTCCCCTCACCCCGCAGGCCCAGCCTCACCTGTGCACTCTGGGTTGGAGCACTCTCTGCTCTCGGCCCAGGGCCCTCGGCACTCGGAGCCCCCGTGAGCCGCGGCTGTGCACTGCCGGCTTCTCTGCTGCGTCCCGTTCGAGCACGTGACAGAGCACTGGCTCCATGAACTCCACTCCTGCCACTGTCCATCGACTACCCAGGGAGAGAGAGAGGGAGAGAGTCATTCAGTGCAGTTCTACAGCACGAGGTAAGGTCACCTTTGCAGTGAACCTGTCAACAGATTCACAATTGAAAACTGCCAGGTCACCCTGGCATGAGATTTTACTACTGCTCCCCGAATTACTGCCACCTGCTTTCTCACACCTATTTTTTTTAGTACCCACAGTATCTGTTTTGATTCACTTCTTTTTTTCAAAAAGAAAATTCAGCATTTTAAATGTACACGCCCTTGAGCTAGGCCTTAGAACATTGGACAGTAAATTAAATACTGAGCAGTTCAACAGAGAAGTTACATTTGAGAAAAGGAATCCCTAAAAATAAGTTAGTTACATGCTAAACAAGCCAATTATAGAGTGTGTTGCCAAGATTGATTTCAGAACACTGTGAGAGAAGAGCTCAGAAGAGCTGAGTGCTTTCCCTCACGAAGTGAGGTTTCAGCAATCATGGCGAACACCGGGAAAACTGAGAGACAAGGCTTGCTGCTGAGGAAGCAGGAGCACATGCAGGGATGGAAGGAAGGCCAGCGCCAGTGGACTCCAGAGAGGCCCAGCATCGAAGGGCTTTGGTTGGCTTCATTGAGAATTTTGGCCGCTGTACTCATTAAGGAGCCAGGACATGTCTTAATGCATGAGTCCATGATCACGTCTAGTAGTGGGTAGAGAGGAAAAGGTCTGAGGCAGGGCCGGGATATCTGGTGAGATTGGAAAGCTACCGAGGAAGGATGGAGGGGAAACTCCAAAAGAATGGTCTCAAGAAACAAAGTCGGTGATCAAGTGACGGACCCACTCACAGTGCTGATCACAGCAGTTCACAAGGCTGTGGAGCCTTGCTTGTTTTTACAGATTCACTTAACCATCACTCATTTAATCAAATGATTTTGATAACCTGATCGTTAGAAGACATGGTGATGCATGTTAATTAAAAATAAAGGAAAGTAGACACAAGTTCCAACTTCAAGATCGTAATATTAAGGACATCAGGTGGTAAGAGAAAGGTCAAAGCTAAAAACATATTTTGTGTCTAATCGTGTAGAGACAGGATCACCTTAGCCCAAGCTGGCCTTGAATGCACAATCCTCCTGGCTTAGCCTCTTGAGAACAGGGATTAGAGGTGAGAACCACCACTCTCAAGAGCAAACACATGTCACAGGCAGTGTTCAGGGCTTTATGGACAGAGAAAATCTGTTTGGGGAGCAGATAGCATGAGAATAAAGTGAGATCAAATAGTTCAGACAAAGGAGATGACCACCACCAAAGGCCAAGGCTACAAACAGAAGTGAGCGAAGGACGCAATGAACACCTGCTAAGAGCAACCAACCTCACATGTGTTATGAAAGCACTTGAACGTAGTCATCTTAGCTTTCCCAAAGATTTTCCATGGTAGAAAGGATGTTTGATCATAGGTAAAAGAGAATTTACCATACTCCAAAGTTCTGACATAAGCTAATGCTGCTATAAAACAACACAACAACTAAAAACCCTGTCCAAGCAAAGCAGAGGCTGGCAGAATCTGAGGAAAGACTTTCAACCTAATTTCAAAGCTTTGTGTGTAGCTATTACATGGTAGGTTGTTTAATAGCTATCTAGCTGTACTTAATAAACCTTCTCTGAGATTAAAAATCACAAAATGCCACTTTGATCATTGCATTCATGTAATTTTAGCATCTGACTTTATTAAAAATATCTGATAAAATCTGTAGCCAGTGTAGCATATGTACCAGACAGAAAAAGTTCTAGTAAATTAGTAGAACATTATAAACCATCAACTTACTGAATAGAAGTGCAACTTTTCTTTTCAAAGATAAGTCTCATAATAAAGCCTACATTACAAAACTTTGCTATTCTAAGACATATGAGAAGGGTTTGCAACAATGAGATTCATACCCTGAACATCACAAAATAGTTGGCAAAGAAATGTGCAAGCATGTATATACTGAAAGCATTCAAAAAGCAATGTGCAGATAAATTAAATGATGCCAGCCTAATCTAAGTTGATAAAAGAAGGAAGGAACTGTGTTATGTCCTTGAATGTTTTGGGTTGCAATGTATTTTACCTCTGATTTGTCACAAGTGTAGAAGTAACATGCACTGGCTAAGGGAGGGCAGGTTGAGGAAATGCACAAACCCAATGTGGATTCTGGAGAAAGGACAGCTTGGCAGTTTGTAGTTTTATAAGGATGAGAAAGGACTGCTGAAATGAGATTAGGGAAAAATGAGGGAAAAAAACCCATGTTTTACTTATTAGGCTTTTTCCTGAGAGATAACTTTGCTTCACCATCAGTGAAACAAAAATATAAGGACTTTAATTCATATATCTGTAGTATTCGTTGTTCAATCCTTTTTGATAATGTATATATTTTACATCTTGTCTGAAGCTCAACAATAAATTGATATTTGGCTTCTGAGTATAATTTGATATTAAATACCACTGGGACATCATGGAAATATTTGGGATATGAAGTTTTGTTTACAGTCAACTACATAAAAAATTAATAAAACTGAAGATGCATCTGGTGGGTGATATTTTTTGCTATTGTACTTAAAATTGAAAATTGGAAAGTCATTTTATTGAGCATTAACTGCAGACAACAGGAAGACAGTGAGATGAAGGAGATAAAAGGATGTCAGCTCCAGCAGGCCTTGTACCTGAATCCCAGATTGCTAGGAAAAGCAAGCAGAGGAATCACTCATATGCAGCTCTGGGCAAATGCTGAGATCTAGCAAGCTGTGTGTGTCTGGGGAAAGAGAGAAAGCTGGGGACACTGGAAGGATGGGATCAGATGGTATGCAAAAGAAATTATAGGATTCTACTGACCTTGTGTAACAAAGGAGACGTAGCTCTACAAGAGGGTTTTAATGCAGAAAAATGACATAGTTTATCCTTTTACATTTATTTGAAAACAATCTTGCTGTTGTGTATTCAGTGCTTTGTGCAGGGGCCAGGATACTGTGAAAAACTAGGATTCCATGTTGCTGTCAACTTGGGCAGTGGAAGCTACTATTGTTTTAGAAACAGGAAGATGAATTTGTGTTGCTCTCTAGATGCACAGATGATAAGCTGCAGGGAGGGTGTGAAGAAAAATAGAATCAGGTTGACTCCTTTTGCTTAATAAGGTAGGTAAAGAGTAGATAGGTTTACTGAACTATTATGTGTTCAAATAAATAGGGAAAGATATTCAGCACAGAAACCAAGGTGTCAGGTTTTATGATATTGTTTTAGATATAGTACAGACTGTAGGATTAAACAATTTGTTGCAAATTGTGCGTCTGTGGTTTAAAACAAATTCAGAGACTTGACTACTTGTTTACAGTAAACTAACTACAACTCCAAGAATTTACATAGACTGAAAATGACATAGGAATCCAAAAGAAAGTGGAAGCAGCCATGGTTACGTCAAATAAGACAGCTTCCAAACTGGAAGCAGCAAAATTAATAAAGAAGGTCCTGTACAATGATTAAGGGATCTATCAGCAAGAAGAAATAGCAATTCTGAATATTTATCCAATATCAGACCACCCAAACCAATGCTAAATATTATAGGCATAAAGGAGGTGAATTCAAATACAGTAAGAGTTGGGAACTTCAACACCATTATTTTTGGAAAATTAACAAGAAACAGCTGTGTTAATTTGTACCCTGGGCCACATAGAAACAACAGACAGCTATGTGCTATGCGCCCCGGAGCGTTTGATCCTCTGCTGCAGAAAACGCACCCTCCTCTGCTCAGAGAGTAAGCTCTAGAACAGCATATGTCACCAGACAAAGCTCAAGAATTCAAGCTGTGTTGAGCTATGAATATCTTGTCTACCTACAATGTAATAACTAGAAACCATTGATTTATAAAGCCACCCAGCATTGGAAATTATACCAACAGATAGAAATTAAACCCCTTACTTTTGAAAAGCCAATGGACTAAGGAATAAGAAAGATCTTAAAATATTCTTGAAACAAATGGAATTGGAGGTACAGCCTACATTTCATAAAAGACAAGACCGAAGAAGTTTACAGAAATCAATGCCTATACATAAATGGCAGAGGATCCATCTGGAGCAGACAGCCTATCACCACATCCCAAGACTCCAAAGAAATGAGAACAAGCCAAAATCAAATTTAGTAGAAGAAAAAAAGTCAGAAAAACAATGCATTATTTTATTTAAAGAGACTAAAAAGCAATATACAATGTCAAAGACAATACAAAAAGCAAAGATTTGGTTCCTTAAAAAGACAAACAAAATAGACAAACCATTAGCTAGATGATAAAGAAGACTCAAATCAATGAAATCAGAGACCAAATGGGAGACATTAGAGGGGACATTGGAAGTTATTAAGAATCATATGTTGACAAACCTCATGACACATGGACACATGGACAAATCCCTGGACACAAACATCTTTCCATGTGTGAGTCATGAGGAAATAGAAAATCTGAACAGACCAATAACAAGTAATGCCATTGGATCAAGAACAAAAATTCTCTAGTAATAAAAGACAAGATGATATCACTTGAGTTTGCCAAACAAATGAGGAACTGCCAAGATGAGGAGGTGGTGAAGTTGCAGAGCTCTGGCCTAGCCAGGGCATCATCTGAAGATGATCTTAGATACAGAAAACCTCACGGGCAATAGCTGAAATCCTAATGGAAATAACTAATTCAGAAAAGTTGTTAGGATGCAAACACATCAGGTAAAAATCCTTAGTGCTGTTACATACCAATACCAAAGTATCTGAACAAGAAATCAAGAGAGCAATTCTATTTCTAATAGCTACCAAACAACATCAACAATAACAACAAAAACCCTAGGATAAATTTAACTGAAGAGGCAAAAGATCTTTACAATGAGAACAGTAGCATACTTGTGAAAGACACAGAATGGAGGGACATCCAGAATTCATGGAGTGAAAGAATCATTATTATGACAAATATACATAAAACCCAAGGTAACCTACAAATTCAATACAAACTATTAAAAACACTAATGGAATTTTTCACAGAATAGGAAGAAACACCGTTAATGTTGAGTTGTAGGTACTCTCAGTACTCAAAGCAATATTGAGCAAAAAGAACAAAGCAGGTGGCATTGCTCAGGTGAGTTCCAGTACAGTGCTGACCTGTAGGAATCAAGAGGCAAGAAAGCCACCCCCTCATCCACTGCAGAGGACAGGACAGAACTCCCAGAAGTAAACCCACAGATCTATGGCCAACTAAGAATTCAAGAACGTGAATTCCAGAAAGGACAGCCTTTTCAATAAATAGTTCTGGAAAAACTATATTCACACACAGAAGAATGAAATCAGACTCTTACTTCTCATCATTTGCCAAAGTCAACTCCAAATATATTAAAATTTTTAATGTGAGACTTAAAGCTGTTGAATATGGTGTTGCTTGCTTGTCTTTAATTTCAGTAACTGAGAAGCTGAGACCGGAGGACTAGAAGTTCAAGGTCAACCCAGAATACATTGTAAGGCTCTGTCTCAAAAATAAACAAAATGGCCATATATGGAGGTACTAATCTGTAATCTCAGCTACTCAGATGGCAGAGATAAGACACTGGCAGTTCAAGACCAACCCTGAGCAAAAGACAAATTCCTATCTAGAAAAAAAGAAATACATAACCAAAACTGTAAGTAAAGCAAAAGGCCTGAGGACAGGATTTACACAGGAAAGAGTGCTTGCCTAGCAGGCACAAGACTGTGATTACAAAAAGATACAACAAGAAGAAAACAAAAACAATAAAACTACTAAGAAAAAGTAGGGAACGTTCAGATCATTAGAATGGGCAAGAAGTTTTAGACTAGACCCCAAGCTCCAAAGACAGGAAAATCAAAATGTCTGAATGTGACTGCCTCGAACCGCAGAGTGGGGACATCTGCAAACTGCACACAGTGGGCAGGAAACAGCGCACAGTGAAGTACTACACCAGTGTGGGCAAGGAATTCCTAAAACTAAGGATCGAGCAGGAAAATGGAGAGCAAACCGGAAGGCACCACTTGCACACGCTGCACCATAACATGCAGTTTCTTCTACGCTAAGCAGGTTAGAGCGAACACTTCCTTGGGACTTTTCAACTCTTCTTCATTTGTCAGAAATACATGCTGCTGGTATGATTTTTGTGTGCTATTTTTCAATTTGAAAACTCCAAATGCCCATTGCATTCAGAGCCATTCTACAAGAGGGCAGGGGGTGGTGGTGGTGGTGTTAGGAATAGAAAACGGAATGGCTGTGTCTAGAAGCAAGAGGAAAGCCAGTGATCAGACTGTATCCACTGTATGCTGATGTCAGGTGACACAGGTGACCCTTCACTGCAGCAGTGTGACAAGGTGCCCAGGGGCTCTGCACCCAGACAGCCAACAGGACAAAAGGCCATTGTGTGGCCCTCACCCCACCAGATCCCCGGAGATGGAACCATGGTGGAACATGGCCAGAGGAAGGGAGGAGAGAGCCCTGTGCAGCTCCCCAGTCACTGTTTCAGTGATGGTAGGGGTACAGGCCAGTTCCGATCCACAGGGCGCCGGGTAGCCAGGGGCCTGGGAAGAGCTCTTCAGAAGGCAACAGATGAGGAACAGCGGGCTGAACGCTTGCTCCCACACAGGCTGAAAATGCCAGAATCCCTGCTTTCTACCTGCAGGGTTAAAATCACTTAAAATTCCCCATTGTTTTTAAAAGCAAAATTGGATACATAAAAAAGGGGTCGTGGTAGGGTTCAAAAGGACTTAAAGAAGCTGGCAAGGGAATTACGAAGTTGAAATGATGGAAAATAGTAAAAATAAAACAAGCCAACATGAATAAAGACACAAAAGTGCAAAAATCTTACAACCTTGGAGTTGGAAGATGACCATTATAATGTTTAAAAATCCAAAATGAAGAAAAAAAATGCCATACAAGAGAGGAGAAGGTTAAGAGGTAAAATTCAAATCAATTAAAAGGCAGGCTAATGAGGCCGCAGGTTAACAAGGCCGGATTTGTGTGTCAGATGTTCACAAGGCTGTGCAGAGACAAGTGCGGGCTTTGAGGCAAGATCAGGTGAAGGTCAGGCCTCTTTGCACTGACAGCCTGTACCAGACAGGCTCCCTGCAGAGGGCAGGGCTGGACGCCTCACACCTGAGGTCAGCCACGTGGAAACCTATTGCTCTAAAAACAGAGCCATTTGCATCTGGGATTGTCCTGGGAGCTCCCGCCTCTCTCAGCAACAGGCAGGGCTACAGGAATGTGTTTCTCAAGTGGGTTGCCCGCCCAGATAGATATGCCAGGAGGGGAATCCCCCAGCTTTTGACAGAGCCAGGGAAGGGTGATAACCTGACCTTTGCCCAGTCTCTTAGTATCGTAATCCTCATACAAATCTTGATAAACCTCCTCCACTTTATATCAAATTTGATATATGCAGGGTACCCTCACCTAATTTTAATCATAGGGGCCCTAGGACATAAAAGTTTAATAAACATTAACTTCATTTCACAAATGTTGCCTAAGTAAATATTTCCAATTGAGTATTGCAACTGAAATCAAATTCACTGGTTCTGAATTCCAGACCACGTTTCCCCACTAAAACTACATTTAAACTAAACCTTTTCCCCCTATAACACCTAGTTGCATTTAGCTTTGCATATTTCAGTGTGCAAATAGGACTTGGTGACACAGGTGTTTCATTATTTCAGTCTTGTGGCTGTTACATGACTGTTAAGTAGCTGCTTTACCCTCTCATTTGCAGTTTATCAATATATAGCACACAACATCACCTCCAAGACACAAGTAAGAGCCACAGTAAAACCCACAAATTAACAAATATATTTCTCTGAAGCAGGCGTTCCCTTTTTCTAGAAAATATATTCAGATAGTTGAGTCATAGAATTGTCCCCATACCCTACAGCAGCCAATCCCGAACAAAGTTCCTTTTGTTAAATTTTTCCCTAAATCACATCAAAGAAGTTGGATTCCTAAATAAGTCTCTTTCCACACTCGACAGCACAGTTTCCTGGCTGGCTTTTCCACACCACCAAGAGTAACAAACTCACCTTATGATCCAGGCGAGTGCTGGGTGGACAGCACCAATAAAATAAGACAACCTGTGCTGTGATTTACCCAATTTGCAATTCACTGAGTTCTGTCACTCGCAATAACTTTGTCCTCTCAACTGTCCTATGTGCTCAGAAATACCATGTACACATATTATGGAAGAGTAAACAAGGATCTGCAGTAAATGTCTGGAGGTGTGTGTGTGTGTGTGTGTGTGTGTGTGTGTGTGTGTGTGTGTGCGCGCACACACACGGGCGGGCCTGTGCATGTATATGCTTGTATGTCCTTATGTGAATCAAACCCTTCTTCAGCACATTAATTCATCACTAAACAGATGTAGAAAATGTGTGTGCCATCCCAGCTACTCAAGAGGCTGAGATCTGAGGATCACGGTTCAAAGCCAGCCCGGGCAGGGAAGTCCGTGAAACTATGGTACCATGGCTGTGGGGTGCCTGCGCAGAGAGGTCTGTGCGCGAGCTTCCTGGTTCCTTGCTTGGGCGCCCGGTCCTGGGGTCTATTCGGTGCGGAGCCTGGGATGCTGTGGCAGCGGCTGGGGCCAGGGCTGGGGCGGAGGGTTGAGGGAGGAGGACAGGGCATGCATGCATGCGGAAGGTGGAGTCTGTGTCCCCGAGGCCCCCCGCCGTCTGTCACTCCCCGGTCGCCATCTGGTTCTCTGCAGACAGGCACCCGTCTGTCTGTCCATCTGTGGCTGGGCGTGCACCTCTGCGTGTGCGCATTCTGCCCATGGTTTCTGAAAGTCTTGAGCACAGAGGCGGACCGCGCGCCGGCTACAGCCGCGTGTCCATGTTGGGATGCGTCCTGACTGCCGCGGGCTCCTGTCCAAGGGGAGGGGAGGGGCTGGGCCTGGGCGCGGGGCCGCGGGCAGGCCAGGCCCGGTCCTGAGGAATGGAGGCCACGCCCTGGGCTGTGCGGGCCGGGCCGTGTCCCTGCCCCAGTGTGCGGCGTGCGGAGCACGCGTGGAGACCAAGGCCATGGTGCAAGGCCGGTGACCACGATGAGGGTCCTGAGCCCAGGATCCCCGAGGGCACGCGGGCTGAGTGCCTGAGAATCGTGGATGCGCGTCCACAGAAGTCCCAGCAAGGTGACCAGGGAAGGGGACAGGGCGGGCGGGGACGGGGAGGAAGGACGGGGAGGACGGGGTGCTCACCCGGGCAGAGCGCGATGTTGCACGGCTTGTGGTGCGTCTCTGGGCCCTCGCACGGGCGGCCCCCGTACTGTGGCGGCGAGCAGGCCCGCGTGCGTGTGCGCTGGCCACGGCCGCAGGTGAAGGAGCAGAGGCTCCAGGGTGACCACTCCTCCCAGACGCCGTGCACTGCAACAGAGAGGGCAGGCAGTCACACCGCGCGGCCGGCCGCCCGCGCCCTGCATCCCTCTGGCCCAAACCCCGCACCCTGCTCCCGCACCCGCACCCACAGACCCAAACTCCGCACCCCATCGGCCTGCACCCTGCATCCCCTCCAGCCCGAACCCTGCACCCAGCGCCCTGCACCAGCGCCACGCACCCTGCACCCGCACCCTACGCCCGCACCCCATGCCCGCGCCGCCCGGAGCCCAGGAAAGCAGAAAAGGGCTGGCTGTGCACGCGCCATGCGCCTTCGGTAACCAGTTGCCTTCTTCGCCCAGCACGCAGGATCCCGTGCCAGGGTTGCGTCTGCCAGGCTGGCTTAACCCTTCCAGGCCGTCAAAGTCAGACATTAAAAACCACCAGCCAATGGTGAGGGTTCGGGTTTCTAATACATCTTGAACCCTGGGTTTGTGAAATCCCAAAGGGTTTTCCTTCTGAACTCCCTCCCTTTGCCTTCCACCAGGGAGCAGGGTCTCTTCTGTGACAGGCCAGACCCTCCTCTCCTCTCCCCTCTCCTCCTTCATCCCTCTCCTCTCCCCTCCTCCCTCTTCTCTCCATCCCTCCCCTCCCCTCCTTCCTCTTCTCTCTATCCCTCCCCTCCTCCCTCTCTTTACCCCTCTCCCCTCCTCCCTCCTTTTTTATCCCTCTCCCCTCCCCCTTCTCCTCTTTATCCCTCTCCCCTCCCCTCCTCTCCCCCTCTCCTTCTCTCTCATCCTCCCCTCCTCTCTTCCCACCTCCATACACGCAGGGCACCCGCGGCTGGCGCAGTGCAGGTAAGCACGGGCTCCTGCCCTGGCAGCCACCCACCTCCACCCTAGCCTCTAACACTCAGAAACCCTGCAGCCCACCCAAGCGTGAACATAACTACACGCTACATTCCAGCAGAAATGAAATATAATTCGCATTTCATCACTGAAAACACCGCCAGCCAAGGTGGAGGTCTTTTACCAAATACCAATTCAAATGTTAGATCTCTTCTTTGAACCCCCAAACCACTGCTCTCACCCCAAGTCTCAGTGCTTGGGCGAGTGGGCATAGCATCTCACATGTATTACAAACAGAAGAGCTCGGGCCTTGGTGTATGCTCTGAGAAGTTTAAGACTTCAAACTTCTGAATAAGAAGGGGAGTGAAAACAAATGGTAGAAAATGACAACAGAATCTCTTTGGTGGCGTGTGCACAGTTCCACACGACAGGAGTCATGGGAGAAATCATAATATTTCTAGCCTCTTCTTCATTTAGATTCCAGCCAATGTGATATTAAAAAGCTTAAATCTAGCTAATTAACAATTGCATTGCTGCATACTGCTTTTTTTTTCCTTTTTGGTGAGATTACATGCTAAACATTTTTTTTAAGGTTACATGTCCTCAATAAATGAATCTACATTTAACCCACAATGTACAATAATAATATACTATCCAGTGAAAAAAGCCTTTTTAAAATAATATGAGCCACACATGAAACCTCACCTCACATTATTTTAATAAGGCTTTTTTTCACTGGGTAGTATATTATTAATGATTTGTTCTTGTGGATACTACTAAATTGGTAGAAATTTATAGTACTACTTTATAATGTTTGCATGTGAGATTAATAATATGCTAAAGATTAGAAGTTCTCATTATAATAGAAAAATTATTATATAAGGTCTTTTATTCTTCAGTAAAATATGGAAATCTCTCTGGTGGGTGAAAATTTGGTACCAATGACCCCCTGGCACTGAAATCACATTCACCCACTTCACAGTGCTCTTCGCCTCTGGCCGGGCCATGCCGCCCTGTGTCTTCATCCTGCTGAGCAGATAACTTGCACAGAACACACCCAACAGGCCACCTGCAGACGTGCCGTGCGCATATGCGCGTGCTCTGATTTAGCTGGGCCAGAGGTGAGGCGCTCCCATGGGGGGAAGGGTGTTCAGTGGGAGCAGGGTGTGCAGGGTGTGAGCTCTGCCAGGCTGTGCAGAGCTGGGGGGCTGCGGTCCCCGGCCAGGCCACTGCCCGCAGTAACACGGATATCATCTGCAGACACGTCTGGAAGAAGGCTAGGTGTGCTAGACACCGAGGGGTGCAGCCAGGGACCCCACCAAGCTCACACCCTGAGAGACCAGCAAGCACCAGGCCTGGCCCAGCAGGGCCACAATGCCCAGGGACTGCGCAGATGCAGAACCTGGAGCTGGCCACAAATGCAAACAGGAAGATGCACACCCTCGGGCTATGGCCCTCTGCTACATTCAACTTCATTTATCCTCTACTCTCCTTCTCAGAGTAAGAGCTGCTGACGAGGAGAAAACTGTCAAAGCAAAAACTGCAAATGGCCCAGCATTTTAGGATCCATATGCAAAGTAAGAGAGTGTGATTAGATGTAACGCTATTGATTAATCATTGAGCATGCAACTTATAGTAATACTTAAATATAAGCAAGCTCCAGTGTCATCATTGCATTTGTTCTGTGGATTATGATTTTAATATTGAAATTTGTCTTTTTATTATGCCACTGTCTTTAATTAAATGCCAAAGAGATTAGTTTCACAGAGTCTGAGACAGTCAGTTACTCATTCATGTCTCAGTTATGTGGAGAGAAATTTATTATTTTATAAAGGAGTTTACATTGTTTAAGATAATATTTCAATTTTAAACTTTAAATTTCACTTGTTCCTAATTTTCGGGACACATTAGATTGACAAACAAGTGAAAGTTGTCTCAGGATGGCAGATAACAAAAGTATTGAGCACTGAATATGCCATTACAAGACAATGACCATTTGCCAGAAACCTGACTTGCTATAACTGGATTCCTTGAATACATTTTTAAAAGAAGGAAGTTATCAAGTTATTTTTCATATTTGGAAAATTAAAAATAAATCAACAAGACTAACCTCTTTAATTGAGCAAATTGAGCTATAAGAATGATTTAGATGTAAGCTTCTCTTATCAACATTATGCAACTTAATTTAGAAAGACAAAAACTTCATGTATATGTTAGCAAAAATTAACTAGTAGTTATAAACATTTCTTCTGTAGAGGTAAAGTTAAGAAGTTTAGAAAGCAAAGAAATCTATACACAAAGTATAATCTCAGTTTAAAACAAATTTGTCCATGTGGTAGGCCTAGAACTAGGGCTTGAACTCAGGGCCTGGGCAACGTCCCTTAGCTGAGGTGCTCAAGATTTTTGCTCTACCACTTGATCCACACCTCCACTTTCAGACTTTTTCTGGTTTTGAATCTCGATTCTCAGATCTCAGCCTTCTGAGTGGCTAGGAGTTTAGGGGTGAGCCACCAGTGCCTGGCTCATTTACTGTCCTGTTTTCAGAGGTATTAATTATTGATCTTTTCTTGATAATTACATATTTTCCCCCTCAGAGCCTTTGGTTGCCATCATCTACTGCTCATCTTGTTTCTTACTTCTGCTATCAAGGGACTACCTGCCTCGTTCCATCATGCTGCTTTCTGTTCTGTCACCAAGTCCTGCTTTGATTTCCTCCAGTTTCTCTACTGGGATAAATACATTAAACATAAAATTTACTATCAAAGCCATTTTAGTGTATAATCCAGTTCAGGTCTTTAGGCAGCTTCATACATCTGTGAAACTGAGTCTCAGAACCTCCTTATTTTGTACATCTGAAACTCAGTATCTATTAAACAACTCCTTTAAACTTATGTGTAATGGATCACATTGACTATCTGCTAGGAAGCTAGGCCTGCCCTCATTCATCCATGCCACTACTTGAGCCACAGCTCCATTTCCAGCTTTTTTGTGATTAACTGGAGATTAAAAAAACAAAAAACAAAAACTCATGGACTTTTCCTGCTAGGGCTGGCTTCAGAGTGCAATCCTCATATCTCAGCCTCCCTAGTAGCTAGGATTACAGCCCGACCACCAGCCCCTGTCTTTACACTTGTTTTAATCAAGTGCAGAATCTGCAAATGGAGATCACTCAAAACTGTATGCATGCCTTAGCTGACAATCTCTTTCCAAGGGCTCCACAAAGACTGCACACGCACTAAGGGAAAGCGCACAGTCCCCAGCCATGGAATGCTCAGGCAAAAATACAGGCCTGGCCAGACACTAGTGGCTCAGACCTGTAATCCCAGCAGCTCCAAGGCTGAGATCTGAAGATCAGTCCCGCAGAAAAAACACCAAGTCTCTTATCTCCAGTTAACCAGCAAAAAGCCAGAAGTGAAGGTACGGCTGGTAGAGAGACAGCCTTGAGTGAAACTGCTAAGGGACAACCTCCAGGCCCTGAGCACGAGGCCCAGGGTCACATAAATAAAATGAAATGAAGTAAAATAACTAAAAGGAAGTGAACTAAAGGAAAATAAAACACAAGGGAGACAGCTGAGGTGACGCTATTAGAAGAGGTAAATAAGAAACTGGCATCTGCAGTGGGAGGCCACACGCAGCAGTGCGGCCAAGGCGTGGTGACAATGTCAGAGGGAATGAGCAAGGCGCACAGGTGAGGCATGACACAGTTCAAGCACATCCACAGGGAGGTACTGCTAACACTACCTGGACAGAGGGCAGTGTTATTGCAAACCCGTGACTCTCTTAACGGACCGCTGCAGTGAGTCCCGAAAGGTGAGACACAAGTTCTGGTTCGCACCTGCGACCCTTGACCGCAAGTCACAGAGCACGGGCTCCACGGAGACCAGTCCTCCACGCCAGATTCACCTGCGTGCGAGACAACAGACAAGCGTGAGACACCACCGCCCACCACCACCCCCCGGGGCATCACTGTACCACACGTGACATTGTGACATGCTTGAATAAGCCAAAAGCAAAATTATGACAGTACAGCAAATAGACAAGGAAAACATTTCAGAGGTAACCCGCCTTAAGGAGGGGTCCACACCATGCGATACAAAGACCTGTATGTGCCATGACCTTGGTGACAAAACCCTCCACAACTACCCTGCTGTGTGTGTGGACGCTAGGCGGGCTCTCGTCATGTGTCAGGAAGGGTGACAGTGGAGGGCATCTCACTCTGCTGGCATAGGGTGCTGTACTTGGGTGGCAAGAAGCAGCAGCTACATCTGTGCCCCTGCTGTTCTGGTGCACAGGAATGGCTGTGCCATGCCCTGGAAGTCCCCTGCATAGCTCCCTTCTGACGTGACCCACGGGGGAGCTGAGGGCTGGAATCTGTTTGTAGGGTACTGTGAGGAACACTGATACGTTTGTCTAGTCAATAGTTTACTGTGGGTGAGACTCCTTTTTCAGCCTGTAATAGCTACTTGTTTTGTAGTAACCTATTAATGTCCTTCTGCTGCTGATTCCTCATGATCTCAGGTAGAGAAGTAGGATTTTTAAAGCTGGAAACAAACAAAAATTCCTCAATATGTATTAACTTGTGAGGGAACGGAAGTGTACTCCACATAGGGCTCTGAGAAGCCAACTGGTGTCTGCATGCTGTCCCGCAGCTCGCGTCTGGCCAAACTCCTGCTCTCTGTGAACACTGAGTCAGGGCTCCAAGGGTGTTAAGAGTTCCAGATGCCATCGCTGGGGGCTGCTACTGCTCTTCTGGCGTCAGGACCAGGGCAGACTTTTACAACTGATTCCAACAGTTTCTACTGTTGTCCTCAAATTCAACTGGGTTTTACTTGGAGCAGGAACTCTTTAAGTTAGACAGGTATTTACTGGCTGGGAAAAAACTGTACAGGTGAGGTGTTTCTGAGAACTTTGATCCACTGATGATAGAGACCCGGGAGTGAACTTCGTTTCAGAGATTCTGTCTAGATTTTGCCTCTGAAATACAATTCAAAGGATACAAATGATAATCGGCCTTCTCTTTTCCTTTTCAGAGTAAATGACATGGGAGTCCTCAAGTGTGCCACTCCAGGGCAAGCTAGGCCAAACATGGACACTCTCAAAGACAGGAGTTTGGCCCGGTCTGTGACTCTGTTGTGCAAAGGAGAGAGCCAGCTAATAGAATGCATACTCCTGAGGAAGGGGTCGATCTCACATCTGGTGAAATCTGCTGAACTGGAGGCTGAGGCAGCTCCCGCGTGAGCACCAGTCCACGGACACCCTCGGGTCTGAGCATTCGCTCCGTGTAGCACTATGCATGCAGAGGCACGAGTGCTGGCTCACTGAAGAACGGATGCTCAGCACACGAAGCAGGGCTCTCCTTAACACCATGAACTATGTGAAGCTTAAAAGTTCTTCCTTGATCATGCCTCAGTTTCTGTCCTATTTCACCTGGACGCATTTATGTGTAACTAACTTCCTGCATGTGCTTGGCTGATGACACGAGCCAAATTGGAAGACAGGTTTCATAATTGATTCTTTTACATCCGATTATATTCCTGCCAGACAGAAAAATCTTCATTTCAATAAGGCCAATGGTAGGACAATGTTTGAAAAAAAGTAGTCACATACATATATATGTATATGTGTACTGTGTATATTTAGCAATGAAAATTTGAGGCTCAAGTTAGAAAAAATATAATGTGTTTTTAATGATTTCCAACCTGTTGTAATGAAGTTACATGAAATATAAATATTATGATTTTATGATATTGATTAAGAGCCAGAAAATTAAGAGCAATGTGAGTTCTCTAATAAGTGAAATGACGAAGGTTATGAATAAAATTAGCTTCATTTGCCACAGAACAATTGTTCTCTTCTGCTCTCACTGTTATCATGACAGAAAAACATATTTGAATTAAACCAAATGAAGAGCTAGGCTCAATACGTACTTTTAAACAGACTTTTGTGTCCATGTGCTTCCCTAACACCAAAGCTTCTTGTAGAACAAAAACGAATAGATGGAATTGAACTAAGGGAACTGAATTAAATTCTGCCACTGTAATTGTGGTCTACCTACCAAAATGATTTCATTCTAACGCAAAGGCTACCTTTTCAGGTGGTATTTTCCATCAGTATTTCTTAACGCTATGCTTCTTCCTTATCCGAGGTGTAGAAGCCCTGCCGTTGGAATTTACTGGTTTATGGTGGAACACAGCTCAGGCATCTTAAAGATGTGTACTTGTGAAGTATTCAACAATATGTAGAGGGCACAGAGCAGACTGTGCCGCACAGGTTTCCTGGGAGATGTCAGATGCACTGGAGCCTTCCCCGCCTCTAAGAGATGTCGTGGGTGCAGGGGAGGCATCAGACTCTGTCCCGGGAGGAAACAGCAGAGCCAACAGGAAAGTTCTGCATATGCAAGGTCTGTGTTTGGCGGGAAGCTACTGAATGTCCTGAGCTCATGACATTACCAAAATACTTTATCCCTGTGAACGTCTCCAATCAAATGGGATGTATCTACTTCCCAGTGGGCCTGTATTATGCAAAGTAATGTGTGTGAGTGCATTTTAGCACACAAACAAGATGTTAATATAACATGTTGCTAGTATGTTAAGGGAATGGGATTAGAAACACACACTTTTATTTTATTTTTTTCTATTTTAGGTAACAGGATATTTGGGCTGCTTTCCTTGTGACACTAAATATGTTTACAAATTCATTTGATGTTAAAAGTTGGTCATTGAGACGTTCTCTTTAATTATTACTCTGTATTCTTGTTCTCAAATTACTGTTAAGAAATTTTTATCAACAGCACCAGTGTCTTGGTTTGAAAGAGAAGTCATATAAATTTAATTTTTATAACATTTAATGCCATCTGTGTTTGTTTAGGCGACATTAACACCTAAAGAAAGTACTCAGAAAATATTTTAAAAAGAAATAGCCCTTTCTTTTTTTAGTTTTATAAGTGCCTAGCATCAAATTCTGTATAATTAAGAACTAGTAAATAATAACAAGGTTTCACAGTCTCAGCTCAGTATTCCAACTTATTTTTGTTTTGTGTGTGTATGTGTGTGTGTATGTGTGCATGTGCATGCGCACATGGGCACCAGTACTGAGTCTTGAACTCAAGGAACTCAAGGCCTGTGCACTATCCCTAAGCATTTTTTGCTCAATGCCAGAGCTCTACCACTCGAGCCACAGCTCTATTTTCAGTTTTTTTTAGTAGCTAATTGAAGGTAAGAGTCTCACAGACTTTCCTGTGCATTCTGGCTTTAAACCACAATCTTCAGATCTTAGCCTCCTGGGTAGCTAGGATCCCAGGTGTGAGCCTGAGGACCTGGCTCTAATTTCTGTTTTATTTATTTAATTTTGTACAATACTTGGGCTTGATCTCAGGCCCGCACACATTTGCTTGGCTATTTTGCTTAAGGCTGGTGCACCATCACTTGAGTCACACCTTCACTTCACTTCACTTTTGATGGTTAATTGAAGATAACTTAGCATCCTGGGCTGGCTTCAAACTACAATCCTCAGAACTCAGTCTCCTATGTAGCTAGGATTACTGACATGAGCCACCAGTACACTGCTCCTAATTTATTTTAAAAATAACTATATATAAGTATGTATTTATGCTTAACACTACTTACTTCTAAAGCATTTCTGGTTTAAAATGGAAAGAATAATCAATATACATTTTGCTTATGAATTCAGCATCCAATCGATATTTTAGAACTTTAATTTTAAAATGTGTTTCTTTTTCTGTGTCATTCTTAATAACATGTGGAAATGATTTTATGGTTGTCATGAATCTAACAAACATTTTGTCTCTTTACAAAATCATGTGTTACTACAAATAAGAACTAGACACAACACAATGGAAAATAATGAATAAATGCAAAAACTGACAATATTTTCTAAGGAAGGCAATGTACCTTGAGAATTGAATTTGCTTTCAAAGATTTTGGCTGGAAATTGTGAATGTTCTGGGTACATTTTGCAAGCAAATTAAAAAAAAATGGAATCTGAACAAAAACTCCTGGCCAAATTGTATAAAATTTTATATGCAGGCTAATTTTCCTACATGACCAGAAATTAAGAATAACTGTTTTCCATTTTAATCCTTGACTTATCTGAATTTTCTCCTGCAAAAATAAAGACTATCTTTTCTGGTCCTGCTGACATTTCTCCAGGAGAGAAGCCCTGCATGGCTGGCTACTCAGCCTCTTCATTTAGAGTCAAGCATCTTCAAATCTGTTCCATGGCTGATCATTTTGCTCCCAGAGTTAGAGCAAAATGTTTAGAATTTTAGGAACTGGTCTAAACATGGTAATGCACTTTTGAACTTGGCCAGGCAGGTAATAAAATAGAAATTGTTGTTTCTTTTCTTTAACAAGAAGGAGCATGAAAACTCAGCTGAGAATGTTTTCTTCATTCCTGTCTTTGACAACTGTGTTTTGATGATCTTGTTTCAAAACAAAAATCCCCCCAAAATATGGCCTTGTGGAATTATTATAAACATTCAGCCTTGGGAATCTGACAGGTTCAGCTAATCTATTGAAAGGGACTGTGAATCTCTTATCAAAAACACAAATTCAGTAACATTTGCATTTTAAGTTATAGATTTGGGCAAGTGTTCTGAAGAAACATCATATAAATACTGAGGACAAACCTATTCTCTGGAGGGATTTCATTAGACAGAGTAGAAATAACATGTGAGAGAAATGAAAATTTATTCATTAATGCTAAAACAGCTCATATTTACAACTTTATAAAGACCTAGATAATACTCTTCATTTAAAATTTCCACAAATAAGGTTGAGGGCTATACACATTCACAACACAGTTTTAAATACTTTTGAAGAGAAACCACATGCAGTGACCTGAATGGAACTGTAGCCCACTGATTATGACAAAACAAAGATGAATGTATATACTTGATTAAACTCTATAGCTAGAGGATTAGCAAAGATTCTGCATATTCAGAATTTAATTATATGTATTAATTTACACATTATTTATAATAAGGCAATTATCGGTCATGTATATGTAGGAGTTTAAAATAATTTGCCATTGAAACTTTTATAATCTAGATAGTCATTTTTGTTGACATTTAATTTTTTGAAATCTATTTCAGCTTAGTATCTGAGACTATCAACTTTTTTTACTATTTAGCTTATATAACCAAATTCTTTTCAAATCAAATATTATATTATTAGAATGTTTTAATGTGTATACATAGACAGACATTCAAGCAATATTAAGTAATATTTACAGGCTTTAACAGTTGAACAAATCATTCATTGCTAAATTTAATCCTCTAAGTCCTATTTAAATTCTTGAAAGTCTTATATCAATTAATTATTGAAGAAATAAACTTTATTATTTTTCTTTACAAGCTTAATAACACATTTTAATGGTTAATTATGTGTCCGTGTGTGCCAATACTCGACTTTGAACTTACAGCCTTGTACTCTCCCTTGGCTTTTTTGCTCAAGGCTGGAGTTCTACTACTAGATTCACACCTCTGCCTCTTGTGGCTGGTTAAATGGAGATGAGAGTCTCATGGAGTTTTCTACTGGGGCTGGCTCTGAACTGTGCTCCTTAGACCATAATGACCTGCTTAGCCAGAGTTACAGGTGTGAGCCATCAGCGTCAGGCTACTAACTGTTTAGCAACAGGGAATACTAACATGTAAAACCTAAATATCTAACACAAAATAATCTTTATACATTTTTTGTGCATTTTTCAATTCCAAGCTACTTTATTTATGGACTTTAACTGGTGACAAAAAAATGACTAAAAAAAAATCAGCTCCAAAAACTGACAGATGTGCAGCACAAAATCATGACAACATGCAGTGGTTCCATTAAATTAACAACAATAAATAGGAAAATGTAACTAACGTATTACCAGTTTGTGCCATAAATTTAGCAGCATCAGCTGGCTCCTGAGGGACCCTTTTTTCATGAACAGATCGAGGTCGCTGACTTTTTATTGTATGATCTCCCATCATTCCAAATTCTAAAGACAGAATAAAGGTATATGAAAGCTTGTGTGTAGACATTTCTCACAAATTACATTACTGTCTCATGCATTATGTTCCGGGGCATAGCTAGAAGTTATTGCAAAGACACAATGCTAAATTTTCTAGACTAGTCTGCTTGTACTCAAGTCAAAACCTGCAGACATGAACAAGATTGTAAGAAGCAATAATCACAGTCAACAAAGATACATCGGGTGTTAGGTCAGATTCACTAACAGAAATACTGCATTCTACGCTGATAATATTCTGAAGCAATATGTCAGAAAGACAGTGCAACCATACTGTGTTAGTGGTTGTTTTCCAGAGAGAAAATCCTCACTGGCTGACACCTGCCTCTGCAGACCAGGAATTGGCCCCTTGGGTTTTTCAGCACTTATCTAAAGGGATGAGTAATTCTTTTTAACTTCTCTTGGGAAGGAGGGGACAGATTCTCCCTACATAGCCCCAAGCTGGCTGGCCTCAAACTGGCAATCTGCTTCCTGAGTGCTGGAATTGTAGGCTGGAGCCACAATGTCTGGCTAGAAGTAAGTAATTCTGCAATCTAACTTTCCCAAGGTTAACATTCATATAATGGATTATTTCAGTATTCAAAGATGATTATGTTTAGTATCTCAAAGGCACACAAAAAACGAATATTCTTGTAATTCTCATTTTCTCTAGGCCTGACTCAAATAATCCCTTGTCCTTGTAATCACAGGTAAAACTGATTTCTCTTGTAAAAGCTGTATTCCAGAATGGAGAATGGGCTGGGGTTTCTATTTAAGCTTTAAAACAAATCCCTTAGTGGGGGAAAGGAAGACCACTAACTGCACTCCACTCACAGGTGGGTGGAGGGGGGAAGAAGTTGAAGAAGAGAATGATTTCAGAGTAAAATATTTCTAAAACCCCGTAGACTTGAACTTCCTGTACTTAGAATTCTGGAAGTTTTGTGTTTGCTGATATGCATGGTAAAGCAATTTTAGGAGAACCAAAGCCTAATGCATGGAGTAACTTGCTGGTTCTGGGTTGTAAGCATGTAAGTGAGGTGGAGAAATCCCCCTTGGACAGGTACCCTGGGAACTTCCCCCCTCCCACCAGAGAGGTCAGAGAGGTCAGCTCCAAGAATTGTAATGGCAGGGCAGCCATTTTACCAGAACCAAAAAGGTCAAAATTTGGGGATGCAAAAGCCTAGTTCCCTCTTCTGTTTTTCTCTTACTAATTTTAAACATTCTTCTGTTAAAACATGAGAACTAATTTTGCAATGTGCTTTGTAAAACTCTAGTCTTTTGTGTGAGAAAATCATAAAGACTCTTTGTGTGTCGTGAAAATTTACCATAAACTCTGACACCTCATCAGCCAACCTGCTGGGAATTTTGTGTGGAGAGCCAATCTGAGAAGACATGCCCTGGGAAATTTGATGAATTTAAATAGGCATTTGTTTTGTTTTGCCAATTCAGATTACACTCAAAAGAGAAAATGGAAATTTTCATAAAATGGCATTTGATCTGATAAACTCCATCACTCCTTTCCAGCACTGCCAACATCCTTCTATTTCCTTGTGTCTACGTGTGGTGCTTGAGCTAGTTTACAGCAGGCTTCTAACAAGAAGTATCTAACTATATACAATTGAATGGTTTGTGAAACTGGCTATTTAGAATGTTTTATGTACAAACTCCTAATGTTTACGTGTTAAACCAATGGAATGTTGTTAAGACCTCAAATTGCAAAAGAACTCAGCAATATATATATATATTCTTTAACACGTCATCTCCTTTGCTGTGGAATTTATAATTCAGGTGATGCCTGACATGTATACCTGCTTGTGGTCACTGTCTGTGTTTCATCATGAATTGTGGCTTACACTATGGTAGTTTTGGCAGCGAGAAGGAAAAAGAAGCCAGCATACTTATTATTCCAGATCTACAAATTCTGAATCACATACCCATTATATAACCTGGTTTTGGTTTGCTCACGTGTTTATTGCTTGCTGAGTGGTATTGGGGTTTGAACTCAGGGCCTTGAGCTTTGAAAAGGCAAGCACTCTGCCACTTGAGCCATGTCTAAGCCCTATCCTGCTTTAGTTTTTTTTTTCAGATAGGGTCTCATATTTTTACCCCAGGCTTTCTGCTGACTAAGATTCTCCTACCAATATGCCTGAATAATTGGAGAGATAGGTAACAGGCAAACACCATCACGCTCAGCTTGTTTGTGAAGATGGGGTCTCACTAAACTTTTACAAGGCTGGCCCAAACTTTGACTGTCCAGACAAGTCTCTCTCTAGTAGCTGGGATGAAAATTATGCACCACTGTATCCTACCCTAGTAAACCATTCCTATTCTCTATAGAAGCATGGGGACAATCTGAACTCTTTCCTGTAAGGGAAAACAAAGCATTTGTGCAGGGAGTAAGTTCCAATGTTTGTGTTCTGGGTTGGCAACTGACACTACTGTAACTTTAGTAGAAAGTATCATGTTGAATTTTTAATGATTTGTTATAAATATGAATCAAATAAAATGTACATTTATCAAGTTGAATTTAAGTAATTTAGTTCATTTGCTGGAATGCATTTCTATATTTCAAATATTTATAATAGAAATTAAGTCTCCACACATCTATCCTACTCATTACAAGGTAGGTACTGATTGTTCTATGAACAACAGAGCTGACAGTCACCATATTTAAGAAGATTTTTAAAAAATTTATGAATTATTAATATTTGAACATTGAAAGTGTAATTGTTGATGATTGTCAATGTAGTTTACCAGAAAACTAATTTTTCAAAAGTAAGTATGTGACCCTGACATAAATTCTCTATAAAATATACAATGTTATAAATTTCTATATTTTTAACATGGTGAAACAATACAAAGGCAGTATTTTAAAAATATTCTGGGGCTATTACTCCAGATCTAAAAGAATTGAAATTTATAATTGAAATATGCAAACTGTTACCTACCCAGTGAGGCTCTTTTGCCAATGTTTCTAGTCCAATTGATAAAAGTAAGTCTTATTTGTTTTAGTGTTCCAGGGTAAGATCTAACAAAAAAAATTACATTTCCTTCCAAATTTCATATTTGATTATCTTAAAAACATTGATGTGTCTTTCATAATGTATATCTTCTACTTATAATCAAGTAAAGACCTATTGGATCATTCAAACTTAAGAAAACAGCAAAGTATTGTTTTTACAATTGTTCATTATGGTCTGTGGTAAACTTTTAGTATATTGTGCTTTTTGGGTAAGTTTCAAAAGTTGGTTCACAGTCAAACAATTCTGCATTGGCAAAGATAATATACTACATTAGTTACATGAGGAAATAATTCAGCCAAATAAAAAGATGATCAGCTTGGGTGAAAGCAATGGAAAGCAAGTTATGAAATCAAATGAAATAAGGAGTAGCATAATATTGTGAATGTGCTGATGAAAATGGAGTTATTTCCTATATCTTTATGCTACGCTGATGTGGGTAAATAACTTCAAGAATAAGATCCACATGACTGACAGTGGCCTTCATAATCTGGGATATTTTGCCCACATGTCTTTCGCTGTGCTCCTTGCTGTAAGCAGTCCTGCCTTGGCAGGAAAGAGACAAAGGTCCACCAAAGAGAGGTTTGGGAAGTCTTTGGCCTTAAATCTAGTCTTGTGTCTCTTCCCTCCTGCAGGTTCATAGAGCCATTAAAAATAAATAAATAAATAAATAAATAATAGACTTTAGATTACAATGGTTACTTATGATGATTTTGTCTGAAAAGCAAGGTTTGTAATAATGGATGTCTTAATCCATTAAAAAGTTAAAAATCACACATGTCTATTTGTTATTACACCATTAAAAAACATTTTTACACACTCAGACAAGGATATCATCAGATAAGTAGATGACAGTCATCTTCGCAAAAGCCTCCAGCATTTCCATGGGAACCTCCTAAGCCCAACCTCCTAGGCTGCTCTCAACAAGCTCCCAGATTTATGTGCTGAACACATTCAGAGGCCAAACTCTACTATTGTTTGTCATGGCAGGGGCCAAGGGCCGCTCACAAAGACCCCTTGAAATAAATCCCCTACACCCCTGCCTCCCCAGACTGCGCCTCTAAGCTATCGGCCACCCGCCCACAGGAGTGGCTTTGCTGACTCTGAATTCCTGTTTTGGTTTGAAAAAACATGGAGTTGCATTTTAACTCTTAAATTAAGTAACTTTCCTTATTATGGCGCCATACATAAGTGAAAGAAAGTGTGTCTTATGAAATAAAAAATCAATTCTTGCTCTGTGTGTAGACAGAATTTAGTATTTATTTACTAAATGGCTCATCCAAGGAGCATTTGCTGAAGGCGTACAAAGCCAATTATTTATTAAGCACCAAATCTTATGTTTAAAACTGCTTATTCAAAATGCACATCACTGTCTACTTAGGGTCATTCTTACAACTCAGTGTGGAGTGGGGAATTAGAACTTTATACTTGAAAATTATTTACATCAGCTTATGATTACCATGATCAGTATTTCTGCCATCAACAAAGCTTATTATCTACCATTACATCTACCATAACACTCATATTATATTTAAAATTTTACCTCACTTACAACTTAAATCTAACTGCTGTGAAGTAAATATTTTAATAATCATTTATTAGCTACTGAATATGCACTAGGGACTAAAGAATACAAATAAGACATTTTCCTGATATTCTAAAGTTCACAGTCCAAAGAAATTCACTAAAGAGGTATTTGAAATATGTAAAAGTAACTTTTCCTAAATCCTAGAATACTTTTTCTATACAATGATTTGTAATACAGCTCTAAAGAGCAGATATAGCTTTTAAGTAATTCAACTGGACAATTGAGATGATATCATTCATTGAAATCTAAAGGAAAGAATATCAAATACATTATTTGTTGGGAGAAGAAAAATCCAATCAGAGTTGGCTTAGGTGGGAAAGCTGTGTAAATTCTGTTCAGAAACAATCAGATATTCTTAGAAAGATTTGCTTTTACATATTTTA